ATCAAATCAAATTTTATTAATTAATCATCATTAAACTATAATTATTTATATTAATTAAAATTAAAATTCTAAATTAATTTATAATTAAATCACAATGTTTTCATCAAATCTTCTTTCTTTTAACGAACATTATAGATTATCGTTAACCAATCTCGGCAACCAAACAAATTTAAAGCATTTTCCCAGCATGCAAACACCCAAACCATACCATTTTCCAACCAAACAAATGAAAACCCACCTTTGCCCAACTGCTTCTGTTCTTTGCATTTTGAACATTGAAATCATTTAAACAATACTTAAAAAAATATGAAAAAAAAGATCCAAAAATCCCACACAACCTGCAACTTGGATAATCTTCGCAAACAATCATATAAAAAAAAAAACAAAAAATTGGAGCTAGGTTCAAGGAACCCAGTTTGCTGGGTTCCAGCTGGGTTCGAGGAACCCAGCAAACTAGGTTCATCGAACCCGAGAACCTGAGCTGGGTTCCGGTGGAACCCAACTGGAACCCAGCAAACTGGGTTCCTCGAACCCAGCAGACACAGAGGAAGAACCAAGCAGACAGAGGAAGAGGAAGAAAGAAGAGGAAGAAAGAAAAAGAAAAAAAAGAAAGGAAGAAGATGATCGAAAGAGAGGAACAAGATGGATGAAGAAAAGGAGATGGGTAAATTTGTAATTTTATATTTTTTTTATTAAGGTAAAATTGGTTTATGAATTGGCGATGATGACGTGTTTTAAAAAAAATTTCAAATCAGCGTTTTTTTAAATTGTTTCTGCCATGTCATCAAAAAAATTATAAAAAATGTCACGTGTCGTAGTTAACGGTCTAAATTGACAGAAAGACTAACAAAGTGCATTTCTTATAGTTGAGGAATCAAAAAAGTGCAAAAAATTATTGAGGAACCAAAAATGTGCAACTCCCTAAAGTTGAGGGACCAAATTTAGCATTTAACCTTTAGAAAATCATGTAGATAAGAATCAGACCTGATGTTGCTTATACGGTTATACCAAAGAAAGGACAAGAACCTGCCCAAACTTGTGTACTCCAGTGACATTTAAAAAATAAATAATAATTGGATTCCTCATTTTGATCACATACACAGCAGGACCTATCAATATCCACACCACGGTTTTGTAAAGCCACTTTAGACGGCGAGATTTCCCAAATAAACTTCCAAAGAAAATGTTTGCTTATGTGGAGCATATCCAACTACTTGAAGCACTCTTCACGTCACTAAAATAATCATTTAACGAATTCTATTCTAGATACGATTACTTTGGTAATTAGATTCAGTTTGCCATCTGGACGACTTTGTAATTTTTAACACATGCAGTTTTCTATGCCAAAAAACTAAATGAGGATTGACGCACCATCTTTCCTTGAGCAACACTTCAGTGTAGAGCGAGCGTCTTCCCTTGAGCAACACTTACAGTGTAGACTAATCCTAACTGCAATTATTGAGAGTATTAAGCCAACCACCTACAGACAGCATAGATCAATCCTAATCCTCCCTTAGAGTCTTAAGGTACCCATCAATGATGTCTACATTAAAACATGGCACAATTTCAGCCAATGGGTGCAGAAGGAACTTTAGGCTATGTTTGATTTGATGGAATTACTATTTGTTGGTCAATAAATGAAATAAGATAAAATGACGTGCCTGACATTCCAGGAATAAGCTGGGAAATGTTGCTCATTTTCCTTTTTAGATTTTGGAATGTATAGGAATAGCCATTAATATCTTCTCCACAGGTTTTAATAATTCCTATCTCATTCACTAATTTATAAGAAAATATTCAACCTTATTCTTATCTTCTAGACTCTGAAATACCCTTCTTTATTTTGCCTTATTTTTACATATTAAACAAGGAATGGTCATTCCATCCAATTGAACAAGAAAAAGAAATTGAGTGGACTCCAATAAATTGTGTTAATCACTATATCGCTTTTATGGGCCAAATCAATGCAACGGCTAAGATGGACCATTTGGTATTATAGGCTTTAACAAAATAATGGAAGGGAAGCCATCTTATCAAATAGAAAAATAAAAATTTAAAGAATATATGACAAATAAAAATAATGCTTTAAAACAGATTTTTGAACTATACCTCTGCAAATTTTATATCGGCATCACTTGATCATTTGGTCTCCCCACAGCATCACCAACATAATGGATCCACAATGCAGGAAAAGAAAAGTTTTGCCATATCATTGTTCTTATGTTAAAAAGTAGAGAAACCACATGGAGATTGTAATTAGTCAGAGAAATGCATATGAAGTAACCTGCATTGGGATTCACTTGATGAAATTGTTGAGATGTCCAGTTTTGGAGTCCACAGCTATCTGTTTACTTCCAGCGTTCAATATTGTACTCATTGGTAAAGATTAACTGCTAATGGTAGAAACTGAGTTTCAATTTCCAGTTAAAAAGAATAGTCAATAAGTGGGACATTCGGAAGGAAGAGAAACAAAAACCAGCTTCTATCCATCATTATATAGAGTCTGCACTGTCTCTGGTAATGATGTGTATAATACCAGCTAATTTACTGCTTATTGTATCTTGACACTTTTTCCCAATAATTAAAACCTATTGAAAACTTATTTGAGAAGGCAAGAAGGGATTAAATGATAAATATAACTCAAAATTAGGAGGTGCTTGAGTTAAATATTGGGAAAAAATTAGTAAAATTGAATTTCAGATAGAATATAGGTTTCTTTTTAGACTCAGTAATTTGGTATAAAGTCAGTAGAATCAAATCTCAGAAGTAGATTAATTTCATTAATTTAATTTTAACTTGCTAAATCATTTCCAAGAGCAAGTCTATAAACATTTCACTGAAGACGGTAGACTGTGTCAACATTAATTTGCATTAATCTCAAGTAACAAACTAACAAAATAAGAAGAGTTTCGTTGGCAGGTCATGCTCATATTTTACAGTGAACCCGACTAAGACCTTTTATCTTTTAGGGGTTGTATACTTGAATTTTTTTTTTCCTCTTTTCTCCATTTGATTATAAAACCTGTTCTCACAAGAAAATCTAAAAAAGATAAGTCCTTACGTACTATAATTCATATAATCTTTGCCCAATTACTGCATCTTTTTAATTTTTTCTATCCATCTCATGAACCAGGTCTAAGTTCCACGAGGTCAAATCATTATTCTTCTCTCTTGTTCCACTTAACTATTTGTACCCCAACACCCAACCTTCTTAAGATTATACATTTTCATACAATGGTGATTAACAAACATCAGTTAACATACCTTTGAGCAGATGTTTTAGCCAGATGACCATCAAAAAATCAAATGCTACAATTTCTCTGAATCTTGGAGAGCATCATCCTACAAAATGATCAAACTAATCAATAGAAGAATGTCTCAAGTACTCCAAACCACCAAGTATATGTCGGAAAACTTAAGGCAAGAACATCAGATCAGATGGCCATACTGCCAAACATAACCCTCAAACTTGTATGGAAATATGCAATTCCATCCATTTTCTGTTTTTAATGAATTCCTAATGCTTCTGTTTTGATGTCACTGAGCCCAATTATTATGAATTAAAACTGTAACATCAATTAAATTACTTGTTGGTGCTTAGGTGCACAAAAAAAATTAAAAACTTAAAAAAATAATAATAATAAACCAATTGGAAGCCTTAATAGAAACCAATAACAATCGAATAAAAGCAAACCTTGAAAATTGTTGTGTTAGGAAAAGGAAAACACTATTTTCCAAGTTCTGAAAAGAAACACATTGATTAGAATCAATGGAAACAGGATAAATTTTAAGGCTTCACTGAACCATATAAAATTTTAGGAGCCAAAACTCAATTTCACATCTTTGACAAGTTTGAGGGCACTATCTCAATCATTTGTATACCACCAAATAAGAACAAATAATGCAGATAA